AAGAGTGTCAGACAGAGTGATGTGCCTGAAGGTAGAAGTAGGAGGTCTGATGCTAAATATCGTCAGTGGTTATGCTCCACAGGTTGAATGTGATGAGGAGAAGAAAGATACATTTTAGAAAGATCTGGATGAAGTGATAGAGAGTATTCCCAGGGAGGAGAGAGTGCTGATGGGAGCAGACCTGAATGGGCATGTTGGTGAAGGAAACAGAGGGGATGAGGAAGTGATGGGTAGGTTTGATGTCAAGGAAAGAAACCAGGAAGGACAGATGGAAGTGGATTTTGCCAAGAGAATGGAAATGGCTAGAGTCAATACATATTTCCAAAAGAGGGAGGAACATAGAGTGACCTATAAGAGTGGAGGAAGGAGTACGCAGGTCGACTACATTCTGTGTAGAAGAGGAAACCTGAGGGAGATTGCAGACTGTAAGGTTATGGCAAGGCAGAACATGGCCAGACAGCATCAGATGGTTGTGTGTAGAATGACTGTTGTTGTGAAGAAGAGAAAAAGAGTAAATTCAGAGAAGACCAGATGGTGGAAGATGAAGAAGGAAGAATGTTGTGAGAAATTCAGAGGTGAGCTGTTAAAGGCTCTGGGTGGTAAGAAAGAGCTTCCAAATGACTGGACTACTACAGCAAAAGTAATTAGAGAGACAGGTAGGAAGGTACTTGGTGTGTCATCTGGACAGAGAATGGATGATCAGGAAACCTGGTGGTGGAATAGTGAAGTGCAGGAAGCTGTTCAAAGAAAGAGGTTAGCCAAGAAGAAATATGACAGTGAGAGGACTGAAGAGAGGAGACAGGAATATAAGGAGATGGGACGTAGAGCAAAGAGGGAAGTAGCTAAGGCAAAGCAGAAGGCGTATGATGAGTTGTATGGGAGACTGGACACTAAAGAATGCGAGAAGGACTTGTACAGATTGGCAAGACAGAGGGATCAGGCTGGAAAGGATGTGCAGCAGGTTAGGCTTGTTAAAGATAGGAACGGTAATGTTCTAACAAGTGAGGAGAGTGTGACAGGAAGATGGAAGGAGTACTTTGAGGAGCTAATGAATGAAGAGAATGAAAGAGAAAGAAGAGTAGAGGTCATAGAAACTGTGGACCAGGAAGTGGGAAAGATTAGTGAGGGTGAAGTCCGGAAAGCTCTGAAAAGAATGAAGATGGGGAAGGCAGTAGGACCTGATGACATACCAGTGGAGGTTTGGAAATGTCTTGGAGAGATGGCAGTGAGATTTTTGACTCAAATATTCAATGGCATATTTGAGAGTGAGAAAATGCCTGAGGAATGGAGAAGAAGTGTGCTGGTGCCCATTTTAAAGAACAAAGGTGATGTCAGTGTTCCAGTCAAGACCACCTAACCCGAGACCAAGTCAAGACCAAGACCAAAGTGTACCGAGACAGAGACAAGACCAAGATATTTGGGGTCCGAGACCAAGTTGAGACCAAAACCTCAAGTCTTAGAGCTCAACCTTTTCACAGATTATCTGTCTTATACTATACCATACCATACCATACCAATTTATTTATATAGCACTTAAAACAGCAACAAGGCCAACCAAAGTGTTGTACAAAAGAACACAAACATGCACAGCGGACAGGAAAACATAAAATAGAAATACAGATACAAATAGCAGCAGAAGCGAACTAAAATGGCCAACAGAGTAGAGAACAGACCGGACCAAAACAAATCACACCATGTTAAAGGCAAGCGAATAGAAGTGGGTCTTCAAGCGAGACTTAAAGACTGAGAGTGTGGGAGCCTGCCGGACACTCAGTGGCAACTCATTCCACAGTCGTGGACCTGCGACAGAGAAAGCCCTGTCACCTCTGAGCTTACGACGGGTTTCTGGGACTGAGAGAAGCATCTGGTCTGCTGACCTCAGAGAGCGCGGTGGGACATATGGCTGCAGAAGATCAGTGAGATAGGATGGGGCGGAACTGTTCAGTGATTTGAAAACATACATGAGAATTTTGAAATGGATCCGAAGGTGAATGGGTAGCCTGTGCAGGGAGGCCAAAACTGGCGTGATGTGCTCTCTATAGCCTGTACCAGTTAAAAATCGGGCTGCAGCATTTTGGACCAGTTGTAGACGAGCAATGGAGGACTGACTGATTCCAAACAGAAGTGAATTGCAGTAATCAAGCCTAGATGTTATGAAGGCGTGGATCACTGTCTCGAGGTTCTTTTTGTTGAGTATAGGCTTCAGCTTAGACAGCCGTCTCAGCTGAAAAAAACAGGATTTGACCATCATGTTTACGTGACTGTTGAGTTTTAAGGACGGGTCCATTATCACCCCCAGATTAGTGACCTTTTGTTTCTCTAGCGGGGCTAGAGAGAATAGGTCAGTGTCATGACATAGTGACAGTTTTAACAAATATGTTAAAAAAAACGTGACTTTTATAAAAATATTTTTTTATAAAAGTTACATACCTCAACTTTGTTTGCTTTTGAATAAATGTATCAGCTTTTATACATTTTGAAAGCTCCATAACAAAGAAATCAGACATTTGGTGGTTTTTGCACAATAATTTTCATGTCATGTGACCCACTGACACAAAACTTATGTTAAACTACTCCACTAAACCTGACAGACGAGGCACCCTCATTTCTCATTTTAAAGCATTTTCTAATTTTACATAATTTATTTGTGTTGGCAGTCCCTAAGCGAACCAATACGTCTCGGAGGAGGAGCAGACTGAGCGCAGCTGATTGAAATCAGACTGCCTGCTTCGGATCAAACAAGAGGAGCACACCGCTGAAGCACGGAGCTTGAATGTCCAGTGTAAAACTAACTTCACCGCGGTAGAGAATTGAGGCTCCATCACGAACAGTTCAGAAACAATTTGAAATAAGACAAGAAATAAATTATTAACTGATTAAGTCGTGTTTTAGACTGCTTATTGTTAACAAATCTATTCTGACCCAAAGTGCAGCCATGACTGGCTCTGAATGACGACTTTACAGCAGACAGCTGCTCCACTCTCTTCCAGGCACTGAGTACCAACGCAGAATATTTTAGTGGTACACAGTACCGGACCGTACCGGCTTACTTTCACCTCTGGTTGCAATGTTATGTTCTGTTGTCTGTATTGTTCTGTTGGTACAGAACCATGTGTGAGTGAAAGGCAGTGGTAGGGCTGTTGTAAACAAATATTTTAGTAATCGGGTAATCTATAGATTATTCTGAGGATTAATCGGATAATCGAAAATAAAATTTGTCATGTTCTGCAGTAACTACCGTACTCATTTTATGAGTAATACAAATACACGAAAAAACATTAAATAAACAAACCATTTAATTCCATCCATCCATCATCTTTACCCGTTTATTCCATTTTGGGTCACGGGGGTCGCTGGTGCCCATGTCCAGCAATCACTGTGCGAGGGGCGGGGTACACCCTGGACAGGTCTCCAGTCCATCACAGGGACACATAGAGACAAACAAGACAAACAACCATTCACTCTCTCACTCACACCCAGGGACAATTTAGAGTTACCAATCAGCCTAACATGCATGTTTTTGGTCTGTGGGAGGAAACCGGAGTACCTGGAGAAAACCCACGCATGCACGGAGAGAACATGCAAACTCCACCCAGAAAGGCCCCTGGACCGGGGTTTGAACCAGGGACCTGCTCGCTGAGAGGCAGCAGCTCTACCAGTTGCTCCCCATTTAATTCCTCTTTTTAAAATATTTTATTGCTTAAACTGAATTATTTTTAACCATCACATAAAAATCTAAATGCTGTAAATAATTTTTATGGATTTGAAAACTGAAGGAATCTTTATGTTAGTAACTGAAGCTAGATAATGTAACGTTAGAGTTTGTACATTGAGTTCTGCAGATGTATTATTATTTAGTCTTGATTGATGAGCTATAATCAAATATGACAGAAGTAATAAATGCAGATTATTCACAGGTTTCAGTCATAAACAGCAGCAAGAAGAAAAAAAAATCCTACTAACTCATGTAAATACATTTACACTTGAAATATTCACCATAAATACTTCATTTAAGTCAGGATGGAAGTACAGCAATAAATAAATGCATCAGTCTGTTGCTGCTTTGATCTTTAACAAACTTGCATCAAGTCCTGCAGTTTTTGTTCCTCACAACGAGCAGACTCTGCCAGGCAGCCACTATGATTAGTCAGTAGATTAAACGTTGGTAAAAATAAGCCTCATTTTACATTTATAACATGACAGATTATCACACATTTAGTTTAACGTATTTTACAAAGACAACATGATCCCTGTTAGAGCTGCGGACGAGTGTGATGCTACAGCGGCTGTTTTCTCTTCAGACGCTGCAACATGGACGACGTGCTGTTGTTACTCCAGTTCTGTTTGCACTGGAAGCATTGAGCTGTGTTGTCTTTTCTCTTTAGACTAACATGTTCCCAAACTTTGACAGTTCTTGTTGTTTTAGGGCTCTTCTTCTAGACAGTCTCTGTTCCCTCCATAGCTACAAACGTAACACATACGCGTTAGCGGAAGCGCTAGCGTTGTGTAACACAAAAACCTTCCGGCTG